AAAGACATGGCACACCTAGTTACATTCCCTCTCGACGCCAATTAACTTCAGTTCACTTTCGGTGCCGAGTAATTCTCGGTTAGTATACAACATGATCAATCATTGCAGTCTTCGGACGTCTTATCTCATTCTACAGCACCTCTGCCTGATGCCATAGCGCTTCGAGCTTGCCCCGCTCGTCTGCATTGCCTACTACAGCACACGTCTTATCACCCACAACCACCATGCCTGGCCTCAACGCCTGTCTCCAAGTCGCCAGCCTCGCCGAAGCCTCTGGCATTCCGTATATCGAAAAACTCGCCAAGGTGGTTGTCGTCGTAATGGAGTTACTAGAGGTTCGTCCACCAGTATGACTGTTGCCTCCGATCTTCATCTCTTCCGTCCGTGTAGCAAAGGGGAAAGAACAAGAAGGATGTCAAAGCTCTATGCGAGAGCATCGCGAACACGGTCGTTGTTGTCAACACTGTTGTCAGTATGCACGAGGAAGTGGGAGCTGCGTACTTTACGAGTATCTGTGCGGAGATGGAAGAGTAAGTCGGGATGTCTCATGCTTTTCGCTGCTGGCTAACAATTGACTGATAGGTACCTGACGAGCTTGGCAGAAGACTTGAAGAGGGAGGTCAAAAGCAAGCATCATGGTATCAAAGGCCTCTTCAGCACCAAGGAGCTCCGAGACGCCATTCAGGATTATAGACTTCGTGTGAATGACTTAAAGGCCGACTTTTTGGTACTCTTTAGCTTTTTATTTTCCCCAAAAGATATTCTGATAATGGCATTCTGCAGATTCATGTAACGGGCGACAGTCGGTTGGTGCTTGTTGGTGTTCAGGCCACGCAGAGAGATTCGATGCGTCTCATGGCCGAGATCCGGGACAAACAGAATACAGCACTAGAGGGAGAATTCGTGATACGCATTGCCACTAAGCATGCCGGTGCTTTTTTTTTTTTGATCGAGATCATACTCTTGGCACGTCAACCAGAACCTGATGATGCGTTGATGGAAGCCCGTTGCAGTGCTCGCAATGGATAGAAATCGTTCCGGTCCTTCCTGAAGTGATTCATCCTCTTCCATATTGTAGGATATCATTGCCCAGTTACCATTTCAAGGACATTCCGTACATAAACAATCTTAACGCAGCTCAGCTCTGGTATATAATATCTGCCAATTACACAATTACAAAAAGATAACGATCAGGACAGATACAGATTTGAGAATCCCGAGGTAGCATAGAATACTTACTTCATGCCATCATCGTAGGACATGCCTTCATAACGTCTAAGAACAGTGGAAGGCAACAAAGTGCGTGTCCAAAGTTTATAAGTTATTCACTGATTTTCGCCGGTTTCTGTTTCTGCCCGACCCGACGTTGTTGAATACCACGAGTCATTACTTAGCCAGGCTCCGTTATACAATCACTTTCGAGTGATTAATAGCGCTTGCGAGTTGTGGCGTCGATCATGACTGAGAACAAACTGAGAATCACTACAGCTCTTCTGTCAAACCTTCCCTAAACCTGGTTTTGATCAGACGAAATAAAGAAAATAGATCTGGCAAGGTATAATTTATGAGTGTCTCGTAGGGGTGCAATAATGTAACCTCAGGTCAACTACGAAGCAGGAAATGGTTGATTTCACTGCGCGGAGAATAAAGACCACCGCCATGACACAAGGATAAGTTAAAAACACGCGCAAAAGCTGTAAGGTTCCGAAAGCTGTGGTGGTCTATCTAGATTCATATCATGTAACAAATGCGGGCGGTCTTTTCCGCATAGCCTGCGAAAATTTCTGCCAAAGTAGGCCGGAGAAGCTCATAGGTCTAGAAGGAAATGCAAGGATACACGTATTGGACAACTAAGTTACCCGTGCACGCTATACGAGGAATCGGCAAGAGAATGGTACAAAGTAAGGATTTTCGTGTCGGTGAATGCATCAACGCGTGCACATCCACTTGACACATCCACGGTGCTCCTATTCGCACAAGCTTCTGAATATCACTTGTGACTTAACCAGGATTTCAGAGTAACAAGTTCGCACGTCGAAGGCAAAAGCAATAGTTCCTTAAGTTACCGGAAGTGCATTAGCGAGGAATCGAACCCCGACCGACCACATGTTAACCATTACACCTCTGAAGCATATCAAACCATGGTAATATGGAACTCCAAGACTCCTGATAGCCAAGGTCTGAGCATATTTAGTCTTTAGCTCTCCATTTAAACCGGCGCCATATTAAAAAGGAAGTAGTCAAAACGCTATCGGGGCGGCCGTCGATATCTGCTATACAGCACTTACACGCCGGGTGCATGCCTTTCCCCAAAGCAAAATCAAACCTAAGAAAGCAGGAGGAAAGAAAGAAAACCGCGGGCTGACCACTGTTATACGCGCTCCCAGGCTCCGAGATTCTAATTCCTGGAAATAAGGACTTTGTTTTCATACACCGCAGTGGATCCTGTGCGCTGACAGGACAATTGCCTACCGCCTCCCGATATAGAACGCGTGCGTCTGGACACGTATCCTAGATAGTCAATCCAGGCACAATACTCTAGAGGGTAGAGGCATCGTAGCGACATCATTGTCAAGCAGTCCGACCTTGCATGTCGCCATCCGTGTACGGTATCGCGAGATTCCCACCAACGCTGGATAATCTCGGCAGGACTCGTAAGTGGTACTTATTCTTCAAGTCTTGCAGCAGGTTTGCTTCTGCGTTGCAGGCAGTATACTGAACGGACATAACATTGGTGACGACATTGAGTATGTAAGAGATACTACTGGAGGGCGTCTATCAGAGGCGCATTCAGGGACGTCATAAGGCAACGATGCTTACCTTTCGTAAATGCAGGAATCAAAAATAGGACGATAAATAAACCCTGTATTATCGTCAGGACCGACAAAGGTAGCTGGAGACAGAACGCACACCTACAGTGATGGAAAGCATTGGTTGTTGCTTCGACACTCCTAGCGAGCACGCTATGAAAATATACCGTTAGCGAAAAACAGAAAGGTGACGAGTCCCCTTAACCTTGGCTTTACACTGTTTCCGAGTCTATCATACGCCAACCTCCCACATCCCAGCACTTCTCCGTCCAACAAACATCCATCTGGGGCCACTCTTCTATAATGAACGCAGCCCAGTCCCAACGGCCTCGCGTCCATTCCTAAGATAGCTTCCATACAAGCGCCGTCCACACTGACTCGTCGCGCCACCATTCCATATCGTCCAGAAACTCGTCTCTCCGCTTCCAATGAAACGTGAACAGTTTCACTAGCGCGCACGTCAACATCCGCTGAAGCGCCTGTTGATGCTACTCCTCGTAGAGTGACAGGCCTAGCGTATGCTTTGAAGCGAACTAGGCTTTCTCCTCCTATTATTATACGAACCTCGTCGCCGTTCTCGTATGAATGCAGGCGCTGTGATAGATGCGCGCACGATATCGAGTGCGCCTCTCCATCCCCAAGTCTCAACTAGTGAGAGTACACCTTCAAAGTCATGAAAGGTGCGCTGAGACCGTTAAGTTATAGCTGCCGAGGACGGCATCGTCTTCATAGATGGGAATAGGTGTGCTATTTGGTACGAAAGTGAAGGATCTCTAAGTGAAGATCGCGGGATGGGAGACGGAATAGCATGCCGTCAAGCGAGGATGAGAGAGCGTCGGCGCCTGGGGTATTGAAGCCAGGATGATACAGTTACCGCATGCTCGCTCCGGTCATCCGAGTCGCATCGACATGAATATATGCCGTCGCTGGTGAGATACAGGTTGGCCGGTTATCGATTATCCGTGGAACTGAATGCTACGAGAATTGTAAGAATGGAACGGTATGAATGAACAAAATATCACGCACCAGAGTGCAAGCGTCCCCAGCTGAGCCAAAACTTCACAGGTTCGGATCGTCGAATCCGATGTCGGACAAGGTACGTGGACGTTGGTCTCTGTTTCCATCCCTTTACTGTGCTTCGAGCAATTCATTGAGCTCTACGAACGGACGTTATACTGTCAAACACTTCAGGAAACGGAAGAAAATGGCGGGACATATCACGTACTTTTTCGCCACCAAGTAGCCTCATATACAGGCCGCGGCTACTCCAGGCGAGCCGCGACTTGTCACTCCAAAAATTGAGTCCATGTCCATTTCTTTCCTTGAATGATACGTCTGAGAATATCGAGAGTGCTGATGGACGTAATGAGCGGCGAAAGGAAGTACATGAAGGACCCTACCAAGAGAAAATCGCGTCAATGGAACCAACGAGTCGCAGTGGGCCTACCTTTCCCAACCGTCATCACTTCGCTCTCGAGACATTGCTTCGCCTCACGTCTCTTTCAAATCTGATCCTCATGCCGCGAATAAGAGAAAATGGTCCAATACGGGCTCGTAGAACAATGTTCCAGGATGGAAAAGGCAGACACCGGGTCGACGGTCGCGGTCACAAAAAAGGTATCGTGGCCCTCTAAAATTTCACATCCGGATTTCGGGCCGACTGCTGTTGAAGCGGAACCCACCTTTTACGTTCACACCATTCACTGCCAGTGACCACTCAGACTTTGCCAAAACCGTCGCACCGCTCGCAAAGGAGCGAAATGCAGTCTTTACAGGTATCCGATTCAAAATTGTAGAGTGGTATATGTCCATTTCTCCAGCTCAATCATCGGAGATCCTTAAAATCTCAGACGACCTGCTTCGCACTGGAAGAAGTTCGGGATATCCACACATTTCGTTTCTCTGATCATCGCGCGAAGGGATATGAGATCTTCTTGCTATCATGAGCTCTTTTTCTTATGTGAGAGACCATGTTGCTCTCCTCCTCGCTTGCGAATCACCGCCTCATAAGGATCATTGTCTTCATCAAACAAAATCGCCTATCCGTTTACACAAAGGCAGGAGAGATCCTGGTCCGATGAATAGGGTGATCACTTAACCACTGTCTATGTCTTTGTGACAGTAACTGATAATAATAATAGTAGAAACTCTATACACTAAGATAATAAAAAGACGCCAAGCAGCAAAATAAGCATCAGTAGGGAGTCGAACCCCGACAGCGTCCTCACGTGGGTAGAGATCGGGCTAACCATTACACGACTGATGCATTCGAGAAGCAAGTGACCACTTCCCAACGTCAACTTCCTATAGATCCGAACAAAACAGGCTACCTACCTCATAGTATTCCCTTGGTAAGCAAACGTTTGACCACGGTCACAGCCGTCTCTTTGCTCTGATGTTACTCTGAACTCGCTTGGCATCACGTTTTGCGATGAAGTTCATCGAAACCATGCGAGTTGGGACTCATCATACTCCAGAAATCAGGTATCGTCCACTTCCTCCTCTGAATAATACGTCCGAGGCTCCGCAGTCATATCGACAGTATTGAACAACTTGATGAGAGACGAAACATCGCGAAAGGGATATATTCCGAGGACCTTATCTCGATTCTCGAGCCGATAGCACCAACGAGTCGTAGGTCTTCTCTCTCGCAGACATACGGAGGATACAAGCCTATGGAGGGAGGGAGAGCATATCAGAGAAAGATCTGACTGGTCTTTCCCGTGCCATCAGCACGCTCTCGAGTCGTTATTGATCATCTAAAGGCCATCCTCCTTGAGAGAAAAAGCGCATACAATAGAGTCTGAGGACGGAGCAAAGGCGGAATCTAAGTCAATTAAAACCATCGGGCTGTCGTGGTCACAAACAAAGGAGTTGTGGGAAATGGTCGCCCAATTTTACATCCGGACGTCGGGCTAACTTCGGATCGCCATTTTTTTCAAGCTAACAGGAATTAGCATATATTTGTTGGCCGAAAGAAAGCTAAGAGTATCTTTATTTCGAGAGTACAAATCGGCTGTGGCCTGGGCCAGATCTCGCAAGAAATATAGGTAACGTTAGGCGGTGCGGTACAAACAGGTCAGTTGACCGATATAGAGGCTTCCTGGCCTTTCCGTCTGTTAGGATCTAGGCACATTCAACAAGTGTATTGAAAACTGGATGTAGCTGTGAGAATGAATCGAACCTAAATTGGAACCGTAAAGGCTGTTATTAGAAAGATTCTCTTGGAGAAACAGCTTCGGATCAGCCTTCTTCGGGATCCAGAAGAACTCTTCTGATTCCTCCGGTGATGCACAACAGCTGGAGCCGTCGCATTCTTCATCAGGCAATGCATCTGCGTGATCTCCGAGTAGGCTCTACAGCGAATGTGAGATACGGCACGGAAATTTTGGAATTGAAAGTATTACCAAAAAGTCAAATCATCCACGTGCTTCCTGTAAGTCTAAATGGCATCGGTTCGTTGACGCAGAAGACACCTTCGATATCACGGTGTTTCCGCTTAATATCCATCAAATCTCGAGCCATGTCTTGAAGATACCTGTAACAAGACTGTTGAGTAGCTGTTTGATGAAAGGCAGCAAATGAAAACGACCACCCACCCGGCCATCTCCCCGCAGATGTTGATATAGCACCTGATCTCCTTGCATATGAGCAAGTGTATCGATGCCGATCGTATTGGCTCACACGGAGCTCCTCGGCATTCTTCTTGTTCTTTCCCTTTCGCTATAGAGCACAGTGTCAACGACAACATTCATACCGCAAAGTATTATTTAACGAACCTCGAGGACCTTGAAGATGACGAGAGGGACCTTGGCCACATTCTCGATGTAGGGCACACCGGAAGCTTCAGTGATCTTGGGGACTTCGAAACAGGCTTTGGGTGCCGGCATAGTGGTTGCTGTGAATACTTGTGCTGTAGAGGGCGATGTAAAAGCGCGCGCTACCTCGCAGCGCTGTGGTGTTACGAAAAGGTGCTGTAAATCTGATGAGATATCCGAAGAACGGAATCAAGACGGAAACTAACCAAAATCGATGTTCCGCGACATGTGAATGGGAAGTTACAGGGGTCCGAAAGACGATTTATCAGGACTTTCGGATCCGCACATGGGATTTTGGTAGCGCTCACGAGTAGAAGCGACGTGTTTCTCATACGATCGAGGCCATCGACACTGTTGGAGGAGCTCACCAGCAGAAATGGCATAGACTAGCGCTCATCGACGACAATTGCGAGGAACGTACACCTGGAGACGGGAACCTAAATAAAACAAAGAATATTTAGCAAAGATCCGACTCTGATAAGAACAGGGATTCAACAAGCCACGTCCAGTCATGCGTAGGTACCGAGCGCCACGGACTTGTATACCTAGAGTTTAGTGATAGCATCATTGTAAAGTGATGTTGTTAATATTAAGCGCCCAGCTCTGCGCGGCTGTGCCCTTTACAGCACATTCCTGACTCTCTCAGAAACCACCATAATCATGCAAGACAAGGACCGTCCCAAGATCGCCCACATCGCTGAATATTCCAGCGTACCGTACGTCGAGAATCTGGCGAAAACTGCCATAATCTTTATGAAGTTGCTCGAGGTTCGTAAATTGCCTTTGCTGTACTACTTGCTCCCCAGTTACGCTATCGACAGACTAAGGACAAGGACAGAGAAGAGATAACAGAGCTCTGCGAGAGTATCGCCAATACCATTGTCGTCATGGACACGGTTACCAGAATGGAGGGGGGAATGGGAGAAGCATATTTCAAGGATATTAGTATGGAAATGGAACAGTAGGTACCCATGTCCTCTGGCTGTCCAACCTCAACAGCTTCCCAATCGTCCCGCAACTCCAGATACCTTGAGGTTATAATCCGGGATATTTCTCCAGAGATACCGGGGTGAGTTATCATTTCGGTTGGTCCAATAGATTCTGATTTTTCGGCTACAGCTATCCTCCTCAGACTGCTCCAGACCAGACAAATACCCCGACAGACATCACGGGTGCTCTTAAAGCCAATGAGCTCAGAGATGACATTCAGGCTTACAGGAAGCGTATTGACGATCTTAAGGTAGATTTCTTGGTACGCCTACTTTTCAGTTTGCGAAGGTGATCATCTGATCCAAGCATGATATAGATCCACCTGACAGGCGACTGTATGTCGTCACTTGGAGAGATTACTCGTATGCAGTCAATTATATACAAGGACAGAGCATCCTACTCTTCAGATTTCAAGTATTCCCCTTTCTTGGGGGCTTTTTCGACCGAGTCTTTACCTGTTTCCTTGTTTGTCCTCTTTTTCTTCTTATTATCTTTTTCTTTCCTTGTTCCAGAGGGAATGGGCATTTTACATTTATAAATACTGGTCGCCAGTATATGATAGGCTACTCATATGATTTCCTGTATCGTAAATGAACTATTCTATATGCTGTGGCGAGGTTGTCCCGGATGGACTGTTTTAGAATTTGTACTCGTGACAATCACAAGAAGATCAATCTTAATGAATGAATGTCGTCGACTCATGTAACCCTGCTCCTCCTGTAAACCCGGTCAATATGTAACAACGAACCTATTCGGATGTGAATACACCTTGAAAAGTCTTTTCAAAATTGTTTATGGTGACTTGCTGAAAGCTACCTACTACTATCAACGGGGGTGGTAGGACTCGGAGGTTGTGGACGAACAATACTATAGTCTATGTTCCTTTGAGATCAGTAATCCTTCGCAACGAGTTAATATTGCCTACGACTCAAGGCTGACTCGCCTTACTGCAGAGATCAAACACAGCTTTCTCTCGATTTGGCGCTGCATAAACGCCTAGCAGTCTCGTAGTAGTCTCTGTGAACGACAACGACTTCTCCCTCTTTGCAACATAATTCTCGGTAAAATTGTATGAGAGTAATTACGAGCTATTTTTTACAATGACCGGGACGTTAGGCGCTCGGTTCTGTACTGCTTTTCGACAGCATCCCTCCCCCTCTCTCTCTCTACAAGACCACCACTATGTCACTCAGTACTTCTCTGAAACTCGCCCGCATCGCTGCCGATTCTGGAGCACCGTACGTCGGGAACCTGGCTAAAGTTGCCGCAGCCATTATGGAGTTGTTCGAGGTTCGCATATATTCTTTCCTGTACTACTTGTCCCCTGATTCAGTACTCTATAGGCTAAGGGGATGAATAAAGCAGCAACGAAGGAACTCTGCGAAAGCATCACCGATACCATCGTTGTCGTCGACACACTTATTAAAATGCAGAGGGAAACAGGGGAAACTCATTTCAAGGAGATTTGTATGGAGATGGAACCGTGAGTTTGCATTTCCGTTGGCTGTAATGTCTCAACAGCTGTCAACTTGTTTGGAAACTACAGATACCTTGGCTTAATAATTCAAGGACTGAAAGATGCCCAACGGAAACAACACGGTATCAAGGGAATCCTCAATGCTCCTGAATTTAAAGCGACCATCGAGAGTTATGGGAGGCGCGTCAATCACCTGAGGATAGATTTCTTGGTGTGTATATTTTTACATTTCCTCGAAAGGCGACAATCTGATCCTAGTATGTCGTAGCTCCAGGTCATGGGTGACTGCAAAATAGCACTCATGGAGATCATCTGCCAGCAACATGATCTGATGGTCGAGATGAACCGCATGAAGGCCACGGCGTCGAAGGAAGCAATGGTGATCAGTGCCATAATCAAGCACACGGCATACTACAGCACCTTGGTCCTGTGTTTCTTTGCTTTCTTCCTTCTTTCCCTAAGTGATGATGCTATTCCATGGCGCGGCCGTGTCGGATAGAAGCACATTCCACCAGTACCACCGGACTAATCCTGCTTGTCTACTAGCATGTAACAAAGGAACATTCCATGCTTACTTAGGGGAAAACAAGTAAAGTACATAACTACGTACGGCGGCAAAACCCGCTACCATGTACCGTATCAGACAAAAATACGGACGATACCAGGGTACTCATTAGTTGTAGCTTCGTGTTACGGACAACAGTTCCAGAGATAGATTTTTGTGATACAGTAGAATAAACACGTTTCGCATCTATTATACCTCTAATATTATTACGATGACCAAACTACACATAGTAATTAACAATGCCAGTGCATCTTAGCACTACAGTACCACCGAACATCGAACCAGAAATGAGAACACGGGAGAAAATAAGAGAACCACACACCAGCCGCTCTTATACACGTTTTTATTCCAGAAGCTAACAACTGGATTTTCATGCAAAGAAAATACAGCGAATCCTGGTCTCTGACACAGAACAG